CCTGGATGGCAATCCCAGTGTGACTTCACCATTACAGCCCAGCGGCTTCCCGTGCCGTAATGGATGCTAATAGGGCGCTCGCCGTATCGGCTTTGGCAGCCGTACGGCACAGTCGAGCCCCCCGTTAACAAAGCGCCGTTAGGATTGCAGCGGTGCGTGGGAATAAAAGTTGAATTGGCGTGAAGCAGAATAATTAGACGGACGACGGGATGGCACGCAAAACGTGGGACTTTTGCGGGCAAGCGGAGGTGCTTTCAGATGGCGCGACGGCGTTTGGCAGGAAGCCGAACGTTGCGGTTTAATTCCAGTGGTTTTTAAAGATGGTTTCGCATTGGTTGGCGACATTAAACCCACAGGGATAACCGTCGCGCTGAATAGTATTGTGTTGCGGATTCGTCAAAATTATTATTGTTTTTTAGCTCTGCCACTTAAAGATCCATCCCTCCAGCACCTGACAGAGCCATCGTGACGGGTCAATTATTTTTTATTACTATTATTATTTTATAATTTTAACTCGTGTGTTGAACGATTCCCACAACCTCGTTCAGCATCCTCTTAATAGATTGTGAAACGATAACAAATTGGCACGATAAATATTTGGGCACCGCCCGCATGACAGTTTTCGTTTGTTTGGCCGTCTTGCGACGGTCGAGGGTCTTGCGACGTAGGCTTGGCCGGATCATCACATGGTGACCTAACACAAGCATCTATTTTGCATCGCACCTTTCGCTGCGAAGATCTTCGCGAGCTCAGCTGCGCGACTCGGCTGTGTCGCAACTCGGCTGCGTCGCAACTGAGTGAGTCGCTTCCACGTTGGACGTCTCCGCAACCGGGAGCGAGCAGTTGACCACGATGCCTGTAGCATCTGTTATGCACGGTAGTCGTCCAGCCAAGACGCCGTCCAGGCCCAACCTTTGCTTGCCTTGCGACGTCTGATGATGATGTAGTGTGCTCTAACCACTGCACGGCCGCTCCCGACATCACTTGATTAATAATTACGCGTTCATAATCGCAAATCCCCCCCACCCCCGCCCCCCCTCTGTACATCGTTGGGCACGGTGCCATTAGCGAGCTCGTTTATACGCGTAGCTCATACCTTATTTATGCACCGTCGCTAGCGGGATGACACTCGCGTCTTCTCTTCAACAGTTAACTTTGGGATCCAAGTGCATGCCAAAATGCTGATGGTGACAGGTAAAAAAAAATAGCAGATCTGCAATGAAGGCTGCTTTCAAAGGCTGTAATTAATAGGCAGTTTGTCGCCTGGGGAGCGGTGGTATAGTGGTGAGCGCACTGCGCTATGGACCCGACCACCCCAATTCGATCCTTGCCCATGACCAATAGGTGGAAGAGTGCGTGTAGAGGAGAGTCGAGTGAGATGAGAGGGGACAGGTAGGAGAGTGCGTAGAGAGTAGAGTGAGATGAGAGGTAGGAGAGTGCGTAGAGAGTCGAGTGAGATGAGAGGGGAGAGGTAGGAGAGTGCTTGGAGGGGAGTCGAGTGAGCTGAGAGGGGAGAGAGGTAGGAGAGTGCGTGGAGGGGAGTAGAGTGAGATGAGAGTGGAGGAGAAGTAAGCAGGGGTGAGTCCAAGCAGGATTTTGAAGATGGTGAGTGCGATCTTGTTGTTAATCTGGAACTGCATCGGGAGCCGCTGACGGGGTCCCGCTCACAGCTGCGAAGCGAGCAGTCTTGAGGTGACAGCGGTCGCGGCGGCTTACTGGATTATTATGTTTTAGGAGAGGTGAGGGACCTGGGGGAGTCTAGAGGAGAGAGAGTTGCGGGAAGTCTCGGGCGCGCGACGCTGTTTCGAATACGGAGCAGCTGGCTGCGAGAAACCGGCCAAGGGACAGGGGCAGGGATTAAGACTTAATTACATGGCCGGACCACTCTCGCCGCGGGCCGTCGTGATCGCAGGGAATCGAATCGGATCTTTAAACAATCCGTGACGGGGAAAACTTTTGGATTAGCCCCGTTCTTAGATCACCAGCATCCGGTTTACGTCGTCGCGGCGAGGTTTCATACGCAAGAGAGCGACGATGATGCGCGGAATTGGGGGGTGGGAGGGTGGGTGCGTCAGCCGTTGAGCAAAAGCGAGCGGCAGGAACCACGGTGGGACGCCTTAGCGGGGAGGGACGACGGACCGCGGTCGAGGCTGACGACAAAAATTGTCAGCCCAAAGGAGGGAACGCGAAGTGGTGGCGATGACGCGACCTGGTGGCGACTACGCGAAGTGGTGGCGATGATGTGGTGCTGACGCGACATGGTGACGATGACGCGACATGGTGGCGATGACGCGGCATGGTGACACGACATGGTGACGATGACACGACGTGGTGATGACGTGCCGTGGTAATGACGTGGTGGCGATGATGGGGTGATGACGCGACGGAGCAACGGAGATCGGCTCGGATTGATGCATCGCAGCACCATGAGAGATGGCGATGGTCAAAGTAGGCCTTCATACAGCAGTGGATTGATCATGGCTGATTGATATAATTTTGGTCACGTGATTGTTTGACCATCCATCAGGAGGAGTGGTCGTGCAGTGGTGAGCGCACCGCACCGTGAGCCCGGTGACCTGAATTTAAATTGCCACCCACGGCTAACGTCAAGTGCCGAGCAAGATCTGAAACCCAGTCCTGACCACACCCCCCCCTTTGCCTTTCCCAATCTTCGCCGATGCACACGGTGAAGTATGGCCAAACGACCCACACGACCGACACGGCTTTGGGTGGCTGGCGGAGGGGGGGGGTGTGGAAGGTGGGCTCGAGGCCTTCATCCAGCAGTAGAGAGACGAAGGGCTCCACCCTGCAAGTACGAGTTGTGTATGGAGACGGGGCCGCGAGCTCGCGGAGCGAGCGGTCGGCCGCTGCAGCTCTCAGACAGCGGCGCGGGGATCTTTAAACCGCCGGCACTTCACGGCCGAGGGGCGCGCTTGTGCCGGGCGAATCGCGTTATCGGAAATAACGTCACGCAAAATATAACGGGCTGCGGCGCAGATCGAGCGGCCGGCTCTGTGGCAAAGTGAGTGGGGGTTGGGTGGGGTGGGCGATCGTTCGGCGAGGAAAATCGCACGTTTTGCGGCGCCGACGCTTTGGGTGCGCGCTTTGGGTGCGCGCGTCGGCGCGGGAATGCGTGTAGGTCGACCGGCCCCGGCCTGCTTGATGCGTGTTTATAGTTTTTGACATGCTCCGCTGCCCGTGGTATTGGTCGTGGACCGCTGCACAGGGATGAGAAAGCGGTCGCCCTCACCTGTTAATAATATCTGTGGTTTTATTTCCTTCCAGCTGTCTCGGACTCAAAGTGATTTCCAGCTTAAATGCTGTCTACCTGTGAGCAGCCCTGCGGAGCCGGCAGTGGAAATTCTGCATTCCCACGTCAGGGGCGAGTCCTGTACGGAGGACAACTGCAGTTGACTTACCCCACAAAACGGTAGTCATTTTATCACCCCAGAGGAAAGATGGAGCGAGTCCCCACCCTCAGACGAGATTGAACTTGCAAACATTGTCCCGGTACGAATTAAACTTCAGTATTACGTCGTGTTTCTCTACGATGGACTTAGCCCATAAAAGAATAGCTAAGCTGATCAATGCTACGCCCAAACCTTGGCGATTATAATCAGTCTTTAAAAGTTTTCTCCTCTGTGCTTTGTGCACCGTGGCGGCTGGGGCCCCTCCCGATGACGTCCGAGGCAGCGTTATTCCACCACCTACCCAGGAGCATCGCGACGACAATAACTGTTTCCAAAGTAAAGTTATTTTGGGGTTTAGGTGGCATGAATATAAATGTGTCGTTAACCCGCCACCACCCGGATAATATTCCGGTCGCCAAAGCCTCGCTCTGGCGACCCCAACTTTGGGACATGAAGCCGGATATGCTCGGACTCTCCTCGCGAGCGCCAAACCGCCGACGGCACTCGCCTGCCGCCCGGGAAGGGTCACGGTTTAGCACCACGCCGATCGCCGCTGTCGTGATCCCGTCCACCGGCGACGTGGAATCCTGAAGCGCCGCGCGCGTCGCCCCGAGAGATATTTCTCTCTCCATCTCTCTCTCTCGTGTGGTCGCGTCGCTGTCGTCGCTGGCCCCGGCTAAGGCCACCGTTGCCCAAGTGTTGACACAAAACCCCTGGACAAAGAGAAAGGAGGGTCGGGAGGGGAGGGGGGGCGGCCACTGCCGTGGATATTTTTCTCTTCTCCCACCGTCTCGCGGTTAAACCGGCGATGTCAGAGAGGCACCGGCTTAGTGACACTGCCCTGGATTTAGTTCCCTAAGCCACCTTGCCACTTTCATATACATAAATTTTTAACCGGGCTTTCACTAGTCAATTTTATTTTGGCACGGGCTGTATTCTTTAGGCTCTCGTTACAGCTGACGAAATGGGATAATCTTTTGCATTTATATATATTTATATTTTGCAATTCTCACTCCCAGCTCCGCTGGCTAATCCGAGCGAGGCGCGGCACCGTGCAGATATATACGCGGTCGTATAAACAGCTTTAAACTTGCCTCGTTGCGCACGCCTATCCCTTAACCTTTTCCGTTATGACGAGAAATAATTACCAAACCCCTCCCCCAACCCCACCCTGCACTAGAGAGAGCTCTAGGTCGCATGTGGTGGGGTAAAGTGTGGGTACCCCCACCTCTTAGAAAGACGCCTTGCCAGTGCGGAAGAGTAGACCAAAATACACCGAGCCTTCTCCAAAGCCTTCCTGTCGCGGGAGGCCCTTCCGCCAGCAGTGGTGTCAGCGAGCAGTTGCAGGGCTGCGCCTTTGACTGGCAAGGTGGCTCGGCGGTTGAGCGGGCGGCTCGCAATGCGAAGGTTATGGGTTCAAGTCCTGGCTGGGAGTTGACTCGGCTCATCGTCGCTGCGAGACAAACAACACGGGGAAGTCGGCCGTGGTTGTTCTACGCAATAGACTCGCCACCGCCACAGTGAAGTGGAATTTCCGAGATCCGCTCAGGGCGGTGACATCCGGCGATGTACGTGCGACCGCGTGTCCAGGCTGATGGGCAGCATGAAGATCTCGAACCACCACCGCTCGGAGCACCTCCTGGACGTGGAGACTGCCGTGATGGGCTACACGACGCGCCGCAGCCTCGAGGGCTGCCTGCCGCTCACCTTCTGCACCCGCACGGCCCTCAGCCAGTACCTGGACATGTCGGACAAGGGGGGCCTCCACAAGCACGAGGTCTTCTACCCGTCCGCAGTGCGGGTGAGTGCGCGAGTGCATGCGTGGGTGCGCGCGTGGTGCATCTGCCAGTCGTCTCAAGTTAGCCAAACCCATGGCACATGGGTCTGTTTTGTGACGTCCTGCCAGCGGGCCTTCGACACCTGACCTGGCATAAGCGCCGTGTTGGCGTCACTGCCACTTAGTGGCGAACAGCGGTTGTTGTTGCGTGTGTGCGTGTGTGTGTGTGCGTGTGTGTGTGCGTGCGTGCGTGCGCGCGTGCGTGCGTGCGTATGTGTGCGTATGTGTGTGTGCGTGTGTGTGTGCGTGTGTGTGTCTGCGAGCAGTGGCACAGCGGTTAGTGCGCTGTGCTACGAACCCGGCGACCCGAATTTGATTCCCGCTCATGGTCGCGCCGACGAAGGAGTGGGTTGCGTGACGGTTTATTTTTTCATCATCATCGTCAATCATCAGCCATGATCACTCCCCAATCCACCGCCGCCACATCCTCACGATCCTGCGATGCAGCAAACGTATCCAGCACCCGCGCACGAACCGATTTCATCGCTCCATCTCCCAGGTGTTACATCCTCGCTGATGCATTAAAATCCTCGGCAGCCAGTCCGTTATTATCTCTTTTTTTGTTTGTTTATAAACAATGATAACAGTTCTGGATCATCTCTTTTTGGGAGCTGGGCCTCCAGCTCGAGCCACCGTTGCCGAATTGCCAGCGCGTTTGCTCGGGGGGTGGGAAATTAAAACCCTTAAATGCGACGACGTGCGTCGGTGGGTGGGTGAGTGAGTGAGTGAATGAGTGAATGCTGCTTTCAATTCCAATCCATCGCCGCGTGCGCCCGCGTGCTCGTGGAGATTAACAAACGGATGGGGGATGTAGGTCACAGCGATACGGTTGAAGAAATAAAAATAAAATCAAGCGATTTACGTTTTTCCTCCTTTTTAAAGGCTACTTATCTGCCATTGCACTCTCACGGTGTTTAACTTACCGGTATTATTTAACGATTGCGCTGGGGAGTTGGGATTTTTTTATTTTATTTTTGTTCCTCTGCTCGCATTACGTAATGCCGGTCCATGTTCCTTCAGAATTACGTTCAGAATCTTTACTTAGACTGGAAGAGGAGGAGAAATCCAATGAGCTATGAAGCTCTTTTTCACCGATGTCCAGTAGGGGCGTGGGGTCGGCCAGTTACATCAACAAACAAATAAACACAAACAACGACATGAGAAGAGCAAGATAGAGAAAAGGTAAGCAAGTCACTACAAATATAAATAATTAGATAAATATCAATAAAGTACAGAAGTACAAATGATCAATTCCTGCCGATTTGTCAACACTAAATGCAAGCTTTGTCAAGGCAGAAAAACAACAACAGTCCCAGACCACAGCAAGACAAAACACACGGTACTTGAATTACATCGCCTGTAAAAAAATCGATATCATGATGTTAATTCATATTGGGAGTGGAGCATTGGTGCAGTAGTTTGCCCACCTTGTCGGCCAACCCGGCACCTTGGGCTCGATTGCTGGGTACTGCAACGACTGTCACGGTGATGACGCTACGGCTATGACGTCGATGACCGGTCTAAGCACAAGATGCCAATGCTGCGGTCTGCTGGCCATGACGAGAGGGCTTCACCAGAGAGTTTGTGTAGAGCGCAGACTACAGTGGTTCACGATTTGGTCTACAGTTTGGGCTGGCACGGCCACAATCGTACTGCTGTGGCTTGTCTTTAATGTATCTCTTTGTATTTCTTACGTGTCTTTATTTATCTCGATGGGTCTCTATGGGTCTATTTGTATGATCCATAGTTCGGGTTGCATGTCCACGATCGCACTACTACGACGACTGTGTCTTAAATTTTCCACGTAGCTCTTTCCGCTCGCGATAGCTCGTTACCAACGTCTCCACAATGCCGTTTGTAGTCTCCAATGAAGCGTCGCACGGAATTGTCACGTTAAGAAAAGCAAAACCATTTGACGCGTGGTGAAGTATGGTAAAACAACCCTCAACACGGGGGGGGGGGGGTGACCTTTCTCCAGCAGTGAAGTGACGAAGGGACCGACAATGATCATCATCGTTATTACCGTTGTAATTAAAAAGCACTCGTCGCTGCTGTTTGCCGTCATTACTCACAAGACTGGATGCTTATTATTCACGCACACGTTCGTACTTTGCGATATTTCATATTCTGAGACCCATTTATTTTTTAACAGTTCAACTCTTGAACCAGATTGTTTATTTTATTTACATCTATATAACGATTCAAACAAACCTAGCCTTTTCTGTTACATCTCATTGTTAATTAAGCCGTTTGGCGCTTTGTTCATTTTCAGTTACAAATGTGATTAATTATTTGGTGTGCTTGTGCGTATACGGCGTATTAAATAATCATAATGCACTTTATTCAAACTTACACTCCCAAATGTATTTTAATTAACCGGGTTACATCTTATTGGGGTGGAATGTGAAAGGTGGCTGTGTGATGCCGGGGGCGCGTGGGGAGCCACCGTGGTTGAGATCCTGCGTTCACATCCTGGTTTCTTCCACGCCAACATTTCGGGTGTTAAATACAGGGTGCTTGAAAAAAATGTCAACACTTCTGAGAATTTGCAACGACACCACAAAAAATGTGCCTCTGGGCTCTGGAGACCACCTGGAGAAGATTCTAGGCGTGGAGACTCTTTGACTTTTTGAAGCTATTACCGTACATTTGTTATCATGTTACGGCTTATTATCCGTTCCCTTTCCATTAAAAACGGTAGTCCCATGTAAGTGTTAACATTTTTTGTTAGAAGCGCCCTGTATATATGTATAAAATAATGCATTCACCTGCTATGCAGAAGGGCTATTGCCCGAAACGTCACCAATCATCCATATTTTTCTCATTTTCTATACGATAATGAGCCAAGAATGTCTGTGTGTCCTGCAAGTGACGTCACTCCCACGTCGACCAGTTCCGCTCATTAATAATCATGAACAGGTTATGTCCTCCACATGGACCCGACCTTCATTAATAATCATGAGCAGGTGACGTCACTCCACATCGAACAGCCCCTCCATTTATAATCATAAAGAGGTGACGTCTTCCAAATGGACACCCCCCCCCCCCCTTCATAAAAATTAGCGACTAACGTCACTCCACATGGGGGGGCGAGGCGCCTCCTCCCCCCTCCTCAGCGTTAACTGACAACCCTCACTACAAAGGCAGAACCCTCATGTCACGTGATCTCCGTAACGCTATTGAGACATAGAAGTCAAAATGACGTCGCGATGAACAAGGGATTATAACCTTAAAATGAAATGAGTCTGTGTCACCGCGGCCTTACAAATTGCACACGAATTAGTGCAATGAAGATCACGTCGCGGTCTGCTTTTCGCTTGCAAGTTTCAGATCTACTGCAATACACCCTGCCTTGGACGGGCATAAGGCTAGAATTATAAGATATATATGTATTTTTTTAAACGCCAAGGTGTCGCTGGTGAATGTGCTGAGTATCAAGCGGTTCAGCGAAGGTCTCGAGTTGATAATCTCAGCGCTTCGGGAATCATGGCCGCACGAACAAACCATCGTGAAGATGTGGAGATAAAATAAGAAGAAACAACACTTTGGTTTTGCCGTGTGATGATCACTAATTGGTGAAAGTGACTTGAAGAGTATACGTAACGTTATCTAACGCGCCGTTTTTTGACACGGGGTGATCCACTGCTGACTGTGAGCGTTCCTAAGGCTCGGTAGAAATATAAATTGTAGGAAAATTTAAATTATAAAAGCAACATCGTCAGCCATGATCAATACACTGCTGGAAGAAAGCTTCCCCAAGCCGTGACCGTAGTTCATCTGAGACCCGCAAACAAGCTGCATTAAAACAAAACAGCGCCAGGAGAGCAACAAACGCCGTCGTCTCTTCTCCCAGTGTAAGCGAGAGAAAGCTGAATGCGTCGCCTGTTTTTGCAAGGGGGGGCGGGGATGCTCGTCGCCGCACCACGCGAACTCTTGCACCATCGGGCCACTTCGACGCCAGCGCTGCGAAAGCCGCCGCCTCCCCTTGCGAAGCACCGCGCGGGGGTCTCGCACCGCGCGGGGGTCTCGCACCGCGCGGGGGTCTCGCACCGCGCGGGGGTCTCGCACCGCGCGGGGGTCTCGCACCGCGCGGGGGTCTCGCACCGCGCGGGGGTCTCGCACCGCGCGGGGGTCTCGCACCGCGCGGGGGTCTCGCACCGCGCGGGGGTCTCGCACCGCGCGGGGGTCTCGCACCGCGCGGGGGTCTCGCACCGCGCGGGGTCTCGCACCGCGCGGGGGTCTCGCACCGCGCGGGGGTCTCGCAACGCCGCGGGGGTCTCGCACCGCGCGGGGGTCTCGCAACGCCGCGGGGGTCTCGCACCGCGCGGGGGTCTCGCAACGCGCGGGGGTCTCGCAACGCGCGGGGTTCTCGCACCGCGCGGGGGTCTCGCACCGCGCGGGGGTCTCGCACCGCGCGGGGGTCTCGCAACGCGCGGGGGTCTCGCACCGCGCGGGGGTCTCGCACCGCGCGGGGGTCTCGCACCGCGCGGGGGTCTCGCACCGCGCGGGGGTCTCGCACCGCGCGGGGGTCTCGCACCGCGCGGGGGTCTCGCACCGCGCGGGGGTCTCGCACCGCGCGGGGGTCTCGCACCGCGCGGGGGTCTCGCAGCGCCGCGGGGGTCTCGCACCGCGCGGGGGTCTCGCAGCGCCGCGGGGGTCTCGCAACGCGCGGGGGTCTCGCAGCGCCGCGGCGGACGGCGGGAATAGCGCGGCCGCGTCGGCGGCGCGCCCCGCCTCCCCACGGAACGTACCGACCGCACGGGGCGCCCAGCCGCCGTCGCCTGCCCCCGCCGTGCCCACGCGGAGCGGCGCGATGCCCGCGGACGATAATCATTCGCGTGGCATCGGTCGTCTCGGTGCCGCATCGCCCCCCCCCCCCCCCCGATCCGGCGTGGATCCCTTGCCATGGCGGGAGAGCGGTGGCGGCTGTGATGTCGTTCGTTCCACCGATTTACACGGAGCGT